TGCCCTTGACTGGAATCGAACCTCAGACCCTTCAGTCCACAGACCAACGCTCTACCACTGAGCCAAACCAGTTTCGGCTAATTCATAACTCTTATCTCCCTGTGTTTTTCTTCCTCTTAGCCTCCAAGAATTAATTTGTGATTTTTTTTTTGGCATTTTTTTCTTTTATTTTCTCTAAGGATTTTTTATCTTTGCAGATACAGCTGGCATTAAGAAAGAGCATTCTCAAGAAAGAAAATCTGTAGTAATAATGCTAGCCCAGAGGTAGAAATAAGATGGCTCTCATGAATCAGATTAAAATGTGTGACTTTTGCTGAAAACATCAGTGTGGCAAGAATCTTGTGCCATAGATTCACTATCATCTATCTAATTAAAGAGTAATATGCAAATTGACCATACCTCTGCAACTAACAAAAGCACACCCAACAGCCAGTCAGGAGAGAATATGGAAATTAAATCAACCAAGATGGCTGCGGCCATGGAGAGAGCAGGAGGCTTGGGTTTCCCCAGCAATGGAGGAAGCCAAACTTTCTGCCTGCCTTGGTGGGCCCAGGCCTCCGCTCAAGGCTACAAAGTTTCAATTATAGAATATAAATAAATCCCATAAAAAATGGCAGCAGCCATGGAGCTGGAGAGAGCAGGAGGCTTGAATTTCCCCTGGTGATGGAGAAATCCAAGCTTTCTGCCTGCCTGACCTGCCTTGGTCTCAGCTCAAGGCTACAAAGTTTCAATTACAGAAGATAAATAAATCTCAGATCAGCTTGGGTTGCTGGGGGGCATGGCCAGCCTGCAAACAACCAAGGCCCCTTGCCCAGGCCACCCCACACCCCAAGAAAACCCCCACCCTGATCAGAGACACCCTTCAGGGCAAACCAGCCAGTCCCCATCCATGCACCAGGCCTCTATCCTATATAATCCTATCTAATAAAAGAAAAATATGCAAATTGACCATCACTCCAATGCACAAGATGGCTGCCCCATGTGGTCAAAGATGACTGCCCCCATGTGGACACAAGATGGCTACCACAAGTTGGCCAGCAGGGGAGGGCAGTTGAGAGGGACCAGGCCTACAAGGGAGGGCAGGTGGGGGGCGATCAAGCCTGCAGGGCAGGTAAGTTAGGAATGACCAGACCAGCAGAGAAGGGAAGTTGTGGGTGACTGGGTCTGCAAGGAAGGACAGTTGGGGGAGACCCAGGCCTGCAGAGGAGAGCAGTTGGGGGGACCAGGCCTACAGGGGAGGGCATTAAGTGATGACCAGGCTTGCAGGGGAGGGCAGTTAGGAGTGATCAGGCCTGCAGAGGAGGGCAGTTAGGGGCAAACAGGGTGGCAGGAGAGCAGTTAGGTATCAATCAGGATGGCAGGGGAGTGGTTAGGGGGTGATCAGGCTCACACACAGAAGCAGTTAGGGGCAATCAGGAAGGCAGGTAGGCAAGCAGTTGGGAGCCAGCAGTCCTGGATTGTGAGAAGGAAGTCTGATTGCCCGTTTAGGCTCGGTCCTACCTAGATCGGGCCTAAATGGGTAGTCAGACATCCCTTGAGGGATCCCAGATTGGAGAGGGTGCAGACTGAGCTGAGGGACACACACTGCCCTGCAGGAATTTTGTGCATTGGGCCTCTAATCATATATGAACTTTAAGTTCTAATATGAAAAATATCATACTTGTCCAAAAATTAAGAAATGAACATTATCTTGAACTATGCGACAATTCCACAGCTTACCACAGCAAAATTAGTGCCTGCACCTCTATATTTAGGTTCCTTCATTATTCTGAGCAATGGGTGTGAAGGCTACTAAATCCAAATCTGGGAAATATTCCTGCAATGGCCTATTGTTCCAATGGATTATTTGACCATTAATATTCAGCCTCTCTATCTCCATTAACTTTCCACCCCTATGTCTGCATATAGCACAGATACGATACATTTAGAAGTTGACACTTGGTTAGACACTAAATTTGGAAGAAAGAACGTTAAACTGTGTAGTTTAATGTTGTCCAGAAGCAGAAAAAGGCATGAGGCCAAATTCCCCCAGCTCTTTGTTTCATCACATGATGTTGCTTGGATATTGGCTTATCAACAGATTGAATTTTCACCCCCACCACTGCAAGAAGCAAGGGACCTAGCAAAAGGTTATTTGGAATATGAACGCAAACTTTTAAAAAGCAGGAGACTACAATACAGGGTAGGTCTCTTTAAAGCAAATATGTCTTTTTGTTTCATATATAAGTTATTTTGTAATTTTTTCCTCCTGAATTCCTAAGCATTTTAAACAAACTTTATCAGGTACAGACCATTTGAATAGGTAAGATGGATTTTCTCAGCAATAGTTCAAGAAAAGCACAACACATAAATTGTTGTCATGAGAAATATCATCAGTCATTTTCTTATGCTATTTAAGAAAAGAAAAGATCTTTCCAGTTTAGAAAAATATTTATGCTCTCCTCTACAGGTCTGGAAAGTAGGAGAAGGGATGTTGAGATGATTTGAGTACAGGAAAGAATATAGGCTTCTATCACAGAGAATATTAAAAGAGTATATCTTAGTTGGCATGGTTTCTGGAATGCATGCTGAAGGAAAAACAGTAGTAAATAAAATATTTATAGTTTAATTTATAAGTTCTTATCATGGAAACAAGATACAAGGAGTTGCTGACTAATGTTTTCTTCATAAATTTCTCTTTTGGAATATCTGAGCCTGAGCTCTGTGAACCCAGAGCCAGAGTTTTCTGACATTAAAATACTTCTTAAGTGTGTACTCATGTGTGCACATGTGCAAATACATGTGCATGAGTACACAATGAGAATAGGGGAGAAGAGAGAGAAGAGGAAAGGGGAGGAGAGGAGGGGAGGAAAGAGGAGGGTAAGGGAAGAGAGGGAAGGAGAGGGAGAATGTTTTATAGTCTTGATCTCAGTTAATCAAACAACCTGAGGAGGTAGGTATTGTTGCCAAAGGCAAAATCGTGAAGAGAGAGGGAAATGCTCAGGGTTTCCTTTCTATGCCTCAACAACCATAGTCCAATATGCCTATTCTTCTTTTTATTGTTAGCTTTTTTAATTATTATATACCCGTCAGAGTCTAAATCCTAACTTACATGGAAAGAAAACTTAATCATAAGCAGGTGTGACTTCATTTTGTATCTTTGTCAAGCCAGTAGCAAATAATGTTGCTTGGTTTAATAGTTGCATTTTAGTACGATGCTATAAAATTGCAAATCTAAATCTGCAAGAAATGGAGAATGGTGTAAAGGTATACTATACTGTCACTAAAAACCATATTTTATTGATTTTTATTTTTTATTATATTTTTACTGATTTCAGAGTGGGGGAGGTAGAGATAGAAACATCAATGATGAGAGTTATTGATCTGCTGTTTCCCATTTGCCCTCTACTGGGGACTAAGCTGACAACCTGGGCATCCGCTATGAGCAGGAATTGAACTGTGACCTCCTGGTTCATAAATTGATGCTCAACCACTGAACCACACTGGCTTGGCTAAGAATCATATTTTAAAGGATATTTAAGGAGCTAGGAAATTGCATAACACATAGGGTATGTATGATCTCCCTTTTCTAAAAATCACCCCACACTGTACCCAGAAAAATTAATAAAAAGAAATCAATCAAAGCCAATAGTAGTTATAAATAGTTAGGTTGTGGATGATGTTATTTTCTTCAAATTTTAATTATTTAGGAGTTTTTCATAATGACATCCATTAATTTTAGAATCAGAGAAAATAATAAATATTATTTGAAAATTTCAAGAAGTAACTACTCCAGCTGGGACTGGTTTGGCTCAGTGGATAGAGCGTCGGCCTGCGGACTGAAAGGTCCCGGGTTCGATTCCAGTCAAGGGCATGTACCTTGGTTGCGGGCACATCCCTGGGGGGTGTGTGTGCAAGAGGTAGCTGATCGATGATTCTATCTTATCGATGTTTCTAACTCTCTGTCCCTCTCAATTCCTCTCTGTGTAAAATCAATAAAATATATTAAAAAAAATAACTTCTCTGATAACTTACTTGTTTCAAACATAGTTAAGCAAAGAAACATAGGACTCAGAATTATTCTTCCCATTAAAAAAGGTATGAGAATAGAGTCCTGGCTGGTAGTTCAGTAGCTTAGAACATCATCCCAATAGGCTAATGTGGGTTCGATCTCTGATTCCTGGTCAGGGCACATACCAAAATCAACCAAGAAATGCATAAATAAGTGGAACAACTAATCAATATTTCTCTCTCTCTCCCTTGTTCTCTCTCAGAAAATCAACTAAAAATATATATATGTACTTATATAAAAGTATGAGAATAGGGAAAAGCACAGAACTAAAGCAGTCTGATGAGGTCCCTTACTTTGAAACATATGAGAAAATTTCTTATCCTTTGAAATACTTAACATTTATTTATTTAGCCCAGTGCACAAAATTTATGCACAGGGTGGGGGGAGGGGTCCCTCAGTCCAGCCTGCACCGTCTCCAATCTGGGGCCCCTCGGGGGATGTCCGACTTCTGGTTTAAGCCCCAAATCAGGGCTAAACCAGCAGTCAGACATCCCTCTCACAATCTGGGACTGCTGGCTCCCAACTGCTTGTCTGCCTGCCTGCCTGATTGCCCCTAAATGCTTCTGCCTACCAGCCTGATCACTCCCTAACCATTCCCCTGTCAACCTGATCAATGCCTAACTGCTTCCCTGCCAGCCCAGTCAACCCCAACTGCCCTCCCCTGCAGGCATGGTGCCCCCAACCCCCTTCCCTCCCCCTGCAGGCCCAGTTGCCCTCAACTGCCCTCCCCTGCTGTCAATCTTGTGGCAGCTATCTTGTGACCACATAGAGGCAGTCATCTTCTGTGAGGATGTGATGGTCAACTTGTATATTATCACTTTATTATATAAGATTTATTTGTTTATTTATTTATTTGCTTACTTATTTACTTAGGTACTTTCTGAAAATTGGTCAAATAAGTGTAATTTTATGCTATGCTTTGTTGTTTCTTGGAGTTACAGGACAAAGAATGGGAGAAAAATGGAAAAGACAGCAAAAGCTTCAGAAAGTTCCACAGATTCCCTGCATTCGAGTCCCTCCCTCTTCCTATTACACTTCATTAATGAAGGTACAGCATGTTATTCATAGATGACTAGACCTTCTCTGTATCTCTTTGAATGTATCTCTTTCAAGGCTTGAAGAATTTCCATGTCTTTGTTTACCTCGCATTTAGAACATTGAGCTCAATATAGGCCTTCAGAGCATGTTGACAGTACATGTGAGAGAATAAAATGAGTGTGGAAATCTAACCCCACACCCATCCTGTGATGGTAAATTTGCTAACTGACCACACCCTTGCTCCTAGCTAGAAAGCCATATTAGTTCCTTTCAAAATTAGTTAAAGCCATTCCCATAAATACTCTTGGTAAACATTTCAGTTCTCTGCCATCTCCTTTAGGAAGAATAAGCTACAGGATAAGAATATTAGAAAGTTATTGTTACTTCTTAATTTGGAAGTTAATAGTTCTAGTAGGAAAAATAAATAGACTTTTTAATCTTATTAAAGAAAACCATAACTTTTAAGGTTTTATCTTTATACTAGAGGTCCGGTGCACAAAATTTGTGCACAGGGGAATGTCCCACAGCCCAGCCTGCACCCTCTCAAATCTGGGATCCTTCAAGGGGTGTCCCTCAGGGACTGGGCCTAAATGAATAGTCGGACATCCCTCTCACAATCCAGGATTACTAGCTCCCAATTGTTCACCTGCCTGCCTGATTGCCCCTAACTGATTCTATGTGTCTGCCTGCCTGATCACCCCCTAATAACTGATCGATGCCTTATCAACACCTAACTGCTCCCCTGCTGGCACGATTGCCCATAACTTCCCTCCCTTGCCAGCTTGGTGGCCCCCAACTGCCCTCCCCTGCAGGCCTGGTTGGCCCTAACTGTCTTCCCATGGGGGCCTGGTCGCCCCCAACTTCCCTCCCCTACTGGCCCAGTCACCCCCAACTTCCCTCGCTCGCCAGCCTGGTCACCCCTAACTGCCCTCCCTTGCTGGCTTAATTGCCCCTAACTGCCCTCCCCTGACAGCCAGATGCCCTCAAATGCCCTCCCCTGCAGGCCACGGTCCCCGCCCCAAATGCCCTCCAATCCAGGCTTTGGTCTTCCCAACTGCCCTCCCATACAGGCCTGAGTTCCTCCCACTGTCCTCTCTTGCAGGCCTGGGTCCTCCCCAACTGCCCTTCCCTGCAGGCCTGAGGCCTCATCAACTGTCCTCCCCTGCAAACCTGGGCCCCCCCAACTGCCCTCCCCTGCTGGCCTGGTTCCCCTCAACTGCCCTTTTCTGCAGACCAAATCGCCCACAACTGTCCTCCCCTGCTGGTCTGTTCACTCCTAACTGCCCTTCCCTGCCTGCCATCTTGTGGCAGCCATCTGGTGTCCACATGGGGACAGCCATCCTGTGTATTGGAATGACAGTCAATTTGCATATTATTCTTTTATTAGATAGCACTAGAGGCCCTGTGCATGAAATTCATGCACGGGGGTGTGTTTCTCTCAGCCCAGCCTGCACCCTCTCCAATCTGGGATCCCTCTCACAACCCAGACTGCTGGCTCCCAACTGATCACCTGCCTGCCTTCATGATTGCCCCTAACTGCTTCTGCCTGCCATCCTGATAACCCTCTAACCACTCCGCTGCCAGCCTGATTGATGTCTAACTGCTCCCCTGCTAGCCTGTTTGCCCATAACTGCCCTTCTCTGCAGGCCTAGTCACTCCTAACTTACCTCCCTTGCAGACCTAGACCCTCCCAACTGCCCTCCCCTGCTGGCCATTTTGTGGTGGCTATCTTGTGTCCAGATGGAGGCAGTTATCTTTGACCACATGGGGGCAGCCATCTTGTGTGTTGTAGTGACTGTCAATTTACATACTATTCTTTTATTAGATAGATAGAGGCCTAGTGCATGGGTGGGAGCTGGCTGGTTTGCCCTGAAGGGTATCCTGGATCAGGGTTGGGGTTCCCTTGGAGCATGGGGTGGCCTGGACGAGGGGCCTGTGGTGGTTTATAGGCCAGCCACACCCTCTGACGACCCAAGCAGAGGCCCTGATATCTAGGATTTATTTATCTTCTATAATTGAAACTTTGTAGCCTTGAGCAGAGGCCTGGGCCCACCAAGGTGTGTGGAAAGCTTAGCTTCCTCCATTGCCAGGGGAAACCCAAGCCTCCTACTCTCTCCATGGCTGCAGCCATCTTGGTTGGGTTAATTTGCATATTCACTCCTAATTGGCTGGTGGGCATGGCTTTTGGGTGTAGCAGAGGTGCAGTCAATTTGCATATTATTATTTTATTAGATAAGATAATAGAAACTTCCATTGCATTTTGGAGTTTGCTCTTGAAATTGATTTGGGGTTTACATCTTATACTAGAGGTCCAGTGCACAAAATTTGTGAACAGTGGTGGGGTTTGTCCTCAGCCCAGCCTGCACCCTCTCCAATCTGAGATCCCTGAAGGGCAGTCAGTTATCCCTCTTGCAATCCAGGCCTGCTGGCTCCTAACCGCTCGCCTGTCTGCCTACCTCATCACTCCTAACTGCCTCTGCCTGCCAACTTGATGCCCCTAACTGTTGGTCTGATCTGTTGGCCTGATCACCCCTAACTGCCCTCTCCTGCTGGACTGATTGCCCCTAACTGCCTGATCACCCATAACCCTGCTGTGTGGGTCAGGGGTGCAGGTATCTGGCTCCATCCTCCCTCCTGTCAGAGTCTGGAGTGTGCTAAAGGATCCAGAGTCAAGTCCCCACCCATCTGCACATGCCTTAAAATCATGCCAGACCCATACCTGGATGGTCCCACCTCCAGTGAGCAAGACCCAGACCTGGTTAGCCCACCCCTGTTAAACCCTGCCCGTGTATCACATTTCTGCCTGGTGCCAGGCGAAGATGTAACTTTCTGCTGATTGGTCATTACTGTGTGAGGGCATGGCAACAATTTCTTTATTAGCTTTTTATTATTATAGATTGTTGTCAATAAGTTAAAAAAGCTTAATTAGGAATCCATTTTCTTTTTCAAATATATTATCTTTTAAAACACCTAATTTAGAAACTATAAAGTTAAAGTGAAATCTCAAATTGTGAAGTACTTGTTTTGCTACTTTGACTCTGGACCTAAAGCAAAACAAAACTGACTGCATACAAATTTCCTAACAAATATTTCAACTACATATAAAATTTCTAACAGATAAAAGTCACTTTATTTTATAAATAATTATCTTAAGTTTGGATTTATTATATCATTATCAACTAGTTTTTTAAAATTCTGTCATTGTTTTGAATTTTTTTAGTCTGGGTGAACTTATTTTATCTTAATTTTTCTAGAATATTGATGCCACCACCTCAGTTTTCCCATCTGCATATAATAAGCACGTAAGAAATATTAGGTGTATAATAGTAATTGATGCCCAGGCCTATTTTTTTCCTCCCTAGCATATGTGGCAGCCTTCAAAATGGCCATGCCAATAGTCTTCCTCCTTTAAACTCATTCTCCAAAGCCCGATTTTCTTTTTAAAATGCAAATATGATCAGCTTAAGGTGTGACATTTTGGACTGGATAATTTTTTGTCATAAGAACTGGAGGCTGTCTCATGCACTGTAGGATGTTCAACAGCATCCCTGGCCTCTACTTCATGAATGCCAGTAGCATCTCTCCTCCCTCTCACCATTTATGACAACCAAAAATTTCCCGACATTGCCAAATGTCTTCTGAGGGTCAAAATTACTTCTGTTGAGAGCCACTGCCTTAAATATGACTTTCAATGATTCCTCATTTTGTTTTAAAAGGTTATATTTAAACTCTTAATAGAGCATAAAAGTTTTCCATGATCTTCGCTTGACTAACTCTACAGCCTTTTCCAGCTCAGACTCCATGTTCTAATGGAAGTAAAGGAAAAATCTGCTTCCCAGTTTTTCCAGTTACCTTGTGTCCTATGAGAAAAATTGTACCACTCTCTTTTTCTAATTAGTCCTTCATTTTCTTCTAAATGGTTCTCAAATATTAGAGTGCATGTATCAAAATTACTCAGAGGACTTGTTAACTTTCAGAGTGCTGGGCCCCACCCCCAGAATTTCTGAATTTACATATAAATCTGGGGTGGGCCTTCAGAGAATCTTCATTTCTAACAAGTACCAAGTGATGGTGATGACTTTTAGAACCAGGATTCTGGTCCCTTCAAGGATTTCCTATTCACCCTAACGAGTGGATATGTTGATCATCTCATTTAGAAAGTTTCCTTGACTGCCTCAGGCAGAGTTGTTTTCTTCTTGTTGAACCCTTATCACATTGCCCGCCTCTTCACCTACTTATTTCTCCTGCTTACTGACAACTCTCAGTGGAAAGTTCTCATTTTACCCATCCAGAGGCCTGGCATACTTCAGGACCTGTGTAGATTCTCACAGCCTATCTGTCTCAAAAAGGACTATAATAAATGAATTCAAACTAAAAAGTCCTTGGAACTTTCTCAGCCCAAAACTTTGACCTTACTCACTAAAATCTTACTTAGCTATTTCACCTTTACACAGGCCAGTGTAGATGGTTTAATTAAATGAAGGAAGCAAACTACCCTATTCCTATTTTTCCAATTGTTTTATATATATGGTGAGAATGAGAGAAAGAGGGAGAGAGCCATCTTATTTGAAGAAAAATCAGCTTTGCATACATAAACTCTTAATTCTATAAATACCAACTAGTCAAAATCACCTACTGTGCTTTGATAGGACCTGACTCCAGGGCAGCAGCGCTACTTTTACAGCATCACGAAGATTTACAACTCCAGGCCCCAGTGGGAGGCCCTGCAGACCCACTATATTCACAGCCTTCAGCACAAGCAGCTGCTTGGTGAGTTTAACTACTTGACCTGCACCACACACCTCAAGGAGGGACTGCTACCCTGAGCCAGAAGTCAAGTTTCCTGATAAAAATTTCAAGTAGAACGTTCTCTTCCAGTGAGCTATTTTACCAATCTGGTTTCCAAAAAATTATCCCTGATAACAGAAAGCAAGTCTCTATGGGTAAATTAAGAGGATTTAAAGAGGATGGATTATTATAAAATGTCAACAATTCTCTGAGATTTACAGGACATTGATCTAGTGGAAACAGCCATGGCCTCAGGCAGATGGTCTAGGCTTAAACCACAGATCAGCCCCTTGGTGGTTACATAAACTCAGAGACTTGGTTTACTCAAAACAGGAATATTTATATTGTTGAGCATTTACCATGTTCCAGACATTGTGCTTAGAGCTCTATCTGTACTTTCTCATTTTCTCCCCACTTTACAATTGTGGGAACCTGTAGCTCCGCAGGTCACAAAACTCAATCAAGACCACCCAGATAGTACATGTCAGTTAGGACAATAACCTACAAAACTCAGGCATTTTTGTCCCTATCCTCCACTGTCTCTCCTCTTCTATAATCCTCATGGGATTTTATAAGCACAAATGAAATAATGGTTGTGAAAGACTTTATAGATCATAAACAACAAAAAGGTGTAATTGCTGTTAAATCTCTCTTTTTTTTCTTTCTCAAAAGTTTTGTCTTCAGCTCCTCTCTATTACACTCTTCTTCTAACTCCCACAGAGGTTTGTTTGTTTGTTTGTTTATACTTTAAGCTGTTACAGGATAGTGAGAAGCTAAGAAAACTCCCTAAGCAAGTGGACTAGGGAAACTGAGACAAGACAATTACAAAAGGTCCAACAGTTTGGGGAGCTTGCAGCTAGCTTGTAAATAACAAGCCATTATTTTCCCCAACCAAGGACACTTGAGAGCAAATGGCTAAACACCCCTCCTCACTAACTAAAATAATTAAGAAAGGAGGGGGAAGGAAAGGAGAAGAAGAATCTCAATGCATGTAGTCCTGAAGAATACATAGCTGAAATCACCCTGAAACTAACTAAAAGCAGAGAGGAAGGGGGAGAGGGAAGGAAGAATGCAGTCTTTTCCCGCCTTATCTCACTGTTTAAACAGAGAAGCCAACAGTCTCAGAGGATTTAATTACCAAGTGCTTCTCATACATCCTGGGGGAAAAAGTATACAAGACAGACACCCCTCTCCCCCACCACACTCACTCTTCAGATTAGCTGAGAGTCCATCGTGCTTCATGCCGGATGATAGATATGCTTGCCTTACTTCTTTAATAAATTCGCATGCTTTACTTTCTTAATAAATTCACTTTAACACAGTTAATCTGGAGTCACTCATTTGAACTCATTCATATGAGAAGACAAGAGCCCAGGAGCGGAAGACAACTTTCTCCCTTCAATTTAGGGGCCTGTCCCATAACACCTTTCCTGGTGTTTCTGGGTGCCTGTAACAAAACTACTCACTTGGCATTAGCGTGTCTAGTTATACTATTGTTTCTACACTTGCACAAAAGAAAAAAGGTGTATTTTTCCAAGTGATTTAATAACAAAAACAATGAGTAGCTATCTGTTCCTATGTACTAACTACTGTTCTAAGCACTTTGTATGTATTATCTTGTTTAAAACTTAAGCATGTACACATAGTAGGTGCTTTTATTACCCACATTTTACAGAAGAGAATATTGAGGCATGGATAAGTTAAAAATTTTGACCCAGGTAATGTAACTAATAAATTACAGAGCCAGGATTCAGCTGGTCCCAATGATTGTTAGAAGCATTGCAGAAACATCATCAAGTACCTTTTTTGCATAGTAAAACTACTCAAAAGCCAGTGAACAAAGAGGCAGAATATTCAAAGTTTACTGCACATAAACTTCACCTCTGTATGTTATTAAAATGCAAATTTCAGGCCTAACTTTCTAAGTTTCTGATTTGAAAGGTCCTTGGAGTAGAACTAGAAATCTGCATTTTTAGAAGCATTATCATTTAGTTAATTTATTATGTTTTAGTTTTTATTGAAAAATTTGTGGGTTACATTGGTTAAAAAATTTATAGACGTTTCAGGGATACATTCTATATAATATTAATACATCATCTGTATATTGTATTGTGTGTTCACCACTCAAAATCATGTCTCTTTCATTACCATTTATCCCCACTTTATCCTCTCCTACCTCCCCCAACCACCTTTTCCTGTGGTAGTCACCACACTGTTGTCTGTGTCTCTGAGGTTCTTGTTTGTTTGTTTTTCATTTAATTCCTTCAACTTTTTCACCCAGACCCCAGACCACTCTCCTGCTGACAACTGTAAGCATATTCTCTGTATCTATGAGTCTCTATATTGTTTGTTTGTTTGTTTTATTCATTAGATTCCATATATAAATAAAATCATATGGTATTTGTTTCCTTTGACTGGCTTATTTCACTTAACATAATACTCTCCAGGTCCATCTATGATGTTGCAAAGGGCAAGATTTCCTTCTTTTTCACCGAGTATTATTGATGGACATTTGGGCTGTTTGCCAAACTTGGCTATTGTAAATAACACTGCAATGAACACAGGGATACACATATTTTTTCATATTAGTGTTTTGGATTTCTTTAGATATACTCCCCAAAATGGAATCACTGCATCATAAGGCAGTTCTAGTTTTAATGTAACTCCACACTGCTTTCCACAGTAGCTGCATCAATCTGCATTCTCACCAACAGTGCATGAGGGTTTCCTTTTCTCCACATCCTCACCAACAAATTTTGTTGATTTATTGATGATAGCCATTCTGATAGAAGTGAGGTAATCTCATTTCCATTTTAATTTTCATTTGTATGATGATAATGACTTGAGCAACTTTTCATATGTCTATTGACCATCTGTATGTTCTCCTTAGAGAAGTGTCTATTCAGGTTCTTTTTTCAATTTTTAAAATTGGTTTGTTTGTTTTTTTGGGGGATATTAGCACTTATCAGATGTATCATTGTTGAGTATGTTCTCCCATTTAGTGGGTAGTCTTCATGCTGTAGATGCTTTCCTCTGCTGTGCAAAAGTGGTATAGTCCCATTAATTTATTTATATTTTTGTTTCCCTTACCCAAAGAGATACGCTGGAAAAAGAATGCTATGAGAAATATACAAGATTTTTCTGGCTATGTTTTCTTCTAGGGCTTTTATGATTTCTAGTCTTATATTTAAGACTTTAATCCATTTTGAGTTTATTCTTGTGTCTGGTTAATGAAGGTGGTCTAGTTTCATTTCTTTTACATGTATCTGTCCAATTTCCCAACACCAATTATTGAATAGACTGTCTTTACTTCATTGTATATTCTTGCCTCATTTTTCAAATATTAATTGACTATAAAGGTTTGGATTTATTTCTGGGCACTCTATTCTGTTCTGTTGATCTATACGTCTGTTTTCAAGCCAGTACCATGCTGTTTGATGACTATGGCATTGTAGTATAGTCATATCAGGTAGCATAATTCCTCCAACTTTGTTCTTTTTCTCCAGGTTGTTGTGGCTATTTGTTTTTGTCTTTTGTGTTTCCATATAAATTTTTGGAATTTCTTTTCCAGTTCTGTAACATATGTCATTGATATCTTGATGGAATTTTATTGAATCTATAGATTGTTTGGGGTAGTGTGAACATGTTAATTATGTTAACTATTTTTATTCATGAAATGGTATATGCTTCCACTTATTTATATTTATTTGCTTCAATTTTATTCTTCAGTACAAATATTTTACATCCTTGGTTAAATTTATTCCTAGGAATTTTTTGATGCAATTGTAAATGGAGTTATTTTCTTTGTTTCCCGTTTTGATAGTTCACTAGTAGTATATACAAATGCAACTGATTTCTGGATATTTATTTTGTATTCTGCTACTTTACTGAATTCATTTATGAACTCTAGTCATTTTTAAGTAGAATCTTTAAGGTTCTTCATATACAGTATCATGTCATCTGCAAATAATGAGAGTTTTACTTTTTTCTTTCTAATTTGAATGCATGTGTTTTTTTCTACTTGCTGAGAACTGTGGCTATGACTTTCAGTACTATGTTGAATAAAGAGTGGTGAAAGCAGAAATCCCTGTTTTGTTTTGTTTTTCCAATTCTTAAGTGAAAAGCTTTTAGTTTTACATGTTGAGTATATTAGTTATGTGTTTGTTATATATGATCTTTATTATGTTTCTGTATGTTGATGATTTTAGCATATATGTTCATGAGGCATATTGGCCTATATAATTTTTTCTTTGTGGTGTCTTTATCTGGTTTTGGAATTAGGATAATGCTGGCTTCATAGAATCAGCGTGGGAGTCTCCCCTTTTCTTGAACTTTTTGGAATAATTTGAGAAGAATACATGTTAATTCTTCTTGAATGTTTGGGAAAATTTACCTGTGAAACCATTCAGTCCAGTCCAGGACTTTTGTTTTGGGAGCTTGTTTTTATTACTTCTTGATTTTCTTTAGTTGTCACTGGTTTATTCAGATTTTCTGATTCTTCTTGAGGCAGTTTTGGAAGTTTGCATGTTCCTAGGAATTTCACCATTTCATCTAGATTGTCCAATTTCTTGGCATATAGTTGTTCGTAATATTTTCTTACAATCTCTTGTGTTTCTGTGGAATCAGTTATTACTCTCTTCTTTCATTTCTGATTTATTTATTTGGATCTTCTCTCTCTCTTTTTTTTTTCTTCTTCTTCATGAGTCTGGTTAAAGGTGTGTCAATATAGTTTATCTTTTCAAAGAACCTTGATCTTTTAAGTTTTTTTTTTTTTTTAACTTAATTTTGTTTATTTCTTCTCTGGTCTTCATTAATTTCCTCCTTATACTCACTTTGGAATTTGTTAGTTGTTCTTTCTCTAGTTCCTTTAAGTATAAAGCTATATATATTTTTGAGATTTTTCTTGTTTAGGTAGGTCCGTATTGCTAAGAATGTTTCTCTTAAAAATACTTTTCCTGTGTCCCATAGGTTTTGGGTTATTG